TCTCCTCCTCCTGACCATACCTCAGCTCTTGTGGCTGATGGGTAAATGACACTATATAAAACTTGTTCTTTTTCCTCTAGGATCAGGGCAATAAATCACATTCATTCTCACCTTTTGTGAATTACTTGAAATTTTTCAGTGTTTTGTACAGCATGAGTAAGAGTAAAAATACTTTATATGCATTGTGAATGCAAATGTATCCTAAGAACAGAAAGTGTGCTTTTTGTAGAATATGATGTATTCCAAGTTTATTTGCTGACTTTATGGATTCAGAAAATTAGAGCTATTTCTCTTTCATCATGCATTTCATTTTTATTGTTTCTAGAAATATAACTGCAGTACCCAGCATTTTAACATCCGTAGTTCTCTTTTCATTGAATGTTCCCACTTAATTAAAAGATTAAAGGAAGATAATCTGCAAATTTACAAATGCCTAAACCAAAATGTGGATTATGCAGATTTGTAAAATAAATCCAACTGCACATACTTGATACCTGAAGATCTAACTGATCCCAGGATAGACTAGCTTATTTACAAAAGGTGATCCAAGAAGAAAAAAAATTGCTAATATGATTTGCCACTCCCTTTTGATAAATAAAGATGGCCTGCAGATTAATCTAGTCATCCCAGGGAAAAATGGCATCTCTATTTTCATACTGACAGGTCTTTGGGAGATACGATGGCCTAATCTGTAGTCTAAATTTAGCTGAAATTGGCAAATTTGTAACAGTATCAGGCCTCAGACAGATCAAAATCTAGCTCCTAGGGCATTAACTATTCCCTGCTACTCATTTGAGTGTCAGAGAGCTGGGAATTTAAAGCTTTTGGCTAGAATGTTTTCAATTAAACTTCTCCACTGTTTTAAAATTAGTCATTAAAAGTAGTACCAAATTGTACTGTTTAATTGAAATTATCAAAACCTAGAACTGGGCTTGCAAGAGACTGATACATTCTAAGAACAGTTTTATATTATTAATAAAATTTGTGAGTAGTGAGTTACCTATTATAGGTGATACCGACATTTTCAGTAACTTTTTCCAGTATTGTTTGTTTTCTTATTATGGACTAATATACTTACTCAGTTTTTATAATGCCTCAAAATTTATGTTTAAAAAATAGTAAAAACGTATCAAATGCCTTTTCTTCTAGTAATAACTGGAACTGTGATCACAGCAATAACACGGGCTGGCAGTCTGCATGCAACAATATCAATCATTAATGTATATAAGGAGGGAAATTTAGCAATTCAACAAGCCGGCAAGAGTATGAGTGCCAAGATTATTGTTGTATGTAAGCAGTGTCCTCTCATCAGAAGAGGTAAGTAAGCAAAAATAACTGCTTTGTGTGTTTATAAAAGACAACAGTGTTGAAAACTGCTATTTGAAATATGACCACAAAACTCAGTAAAATACAGTAATTGTTTCGGTAATCAGCAACTAATACTATAACCAATTTAAGATAAAAATAACTAATTATCCAGGTTTATATTGCATTTTTAAGTTTTCCTTATAAAGGATTAGACTCACTTAGATCAAAGGAGTTTGAATTTTTTTTTTAAACCATGTGATATAAAGTAAAGTCTGATCTGTTTTTCTCAAAGTTCAATTAGATTTTGATTTTACGTGTATGTACTTTGGAACTAGTTTTCATACACAGTTATTTAGAAGGGAAAATCAACAGTATGCTAAACCTAGAAGAGCAGTATGCCACAGCAGAGGCAGTGGGCAGTACCAAAGTGAAAAATCCTTGTCAGAAACTAGCTTTTTCTTGTACCTTTAGTTCTCTGGAAAGTAGACACCTGCCTGGGAGACATAATAATATCCTTAGTGGAACAAATTGTCTCCTTTTAGGCAGACCGTTGGCTCCAAGCCACACACTTCTGTTTCTCTTCCTAAATCTCCATGAATTATTTAATAGCCATTACTTAGTATCTAAACTTTTCTGCTTATACCCCTATACCACCACTCCTTCCAGCCTAAGCCCTAACCCTTCTAAGCCACAAAAATACGCAAATCCATCAGATTTCTCCAAAGCCAGGGCTTATTATTAAGCCCACCTTGCTTGCCTGACTGCCTCCCTATATATCTAGAAAATGTTTAAGTCTCTGGGGGAGGAAAAGGGAATGAAAAGACTTAAGTGCATTATCCCTTAAGTGCCTTATCCTACAAGCTGTGCAAATGAGAAAATATCCAAAATGAATGAGACACATTCCACTTCGGGTGTTAGTAGCTAAGTTACCCAGTGTTTATACTACATTTCTAATATCTTTCAGACTCATTTGACAGTCTGCATTTAATGAATATCTCCTATATATTTAATTATGTAGTACTTAGACATATTATCTACTTGATTTTTACAAAACTGTACTTTATTGCGTAACAAGCATGGCAAAGATGGGTAAGGAAGTACATGCTTTAGGTAGGAAGGAAAAAAATGTTAGAAGGTATTGGTAACAGAGTGCAAATTAATAGAGATCACAGATAAAGAACTATACTTACCGAATCATGTCCCCGATTTCTGTCTTGTAATATCATGCTCTCCTTTGTAGGTTTAAACTACATCATCATGGGCCAGGTAGACGAAGATGGTAGAGGCAAAGTCTTTCCCAACAGCTTTGTAATGAGTTTTAAGACTAAGAACTCAAAGATTCTAAATGCCTTGAAAAACAAAACATGTTAAAACTAAACTCTGCAGCTGCATTCTATCATTTCTCTTGAAAAAATAATTTTCACTTACTGTAAGTCATGAAAGTACAACTGACTGCCAACATTAAGACCACGCTCAACCCTTCTTCCCTCCCATCCACCTAAGCAGACTCTGGCACAAGGTGGTAGCCATTACACTTACTGAGACAAGAACAGATTCTCCAAAGTCTTAAAGCTGAAGATTTGCAGCACAGCCATCTGATGTCAAACATACCAAATTCCAATTACTTGGAAGCTGTTAATTTATAATTGTCCAATTTTTTAAGGAGTTGTGTATGTAAAATAAGAATTCTAAGTGCAATATTTATAGTAACTCATTTTAACTTAGCTTTTTCTCTAAAGTTGTTTTATTACATGGATTTCTGCATTATTATCTGTGCTTAATAAAATATTTTAAGATTAAATCATACACCAGCTAGTTATTCATTGTGTATAAATTGGGGCAGGCTAAACATAGAAACTCTTTTTTGTTCATTTACACGCTTTTGATGGTTTGGGTCTTGCATAGCATGACTGACACTATACTTCCTTCCTGATTAAGGGCCTGATTTTTATTCAATTGAAGTCGGTGAATCATTCATTTGAATAAGAACTGGATTTACTCGTCAAAGAATTAGACAACTGTAAAACAGCACCATGCTTTTCTCTACTGATGACTATAATCTATTTAGTAAATGTCACTATTAAGTTCCATAAGGTAATTAGGGTGGAGGCAGGAAGGAATTAATTTAGTGGCAGTGAAGTACATGTGCAAATAGTTCAAATTTTTGTCTCTACCATGGAAGGACGGACAATACAGCAATGCTCAGTCTGGCAGCAGAAGCGTTAATAGTAGCATATCTGCCTAATTTATTTCATTCCTATATGCAAAAGTTGAACAAGTAGCTATTTTGAGAACAAGGGAACAACAGACTGGAAGCAGTCAGACAATGTTATAATGTCAAAATATCTTTGTCAGGTGTGTCTGTTGTATAGTTATTTGTTATTCTGAAACTGAAAAGCTATAACCAAAGATGGAGGAATAGAAATGGATTATAGGTGAAGATTAATACTGAAAAGTTGAAGAACATTTTGGTCAAAAGCAGGTATGAAATATATGCTTTTCAAACTGGGTAAAACACTAATAAAAATTACATGGATGGAACAAAATCTAAGATCCCTTTAAGTACTTGTTTTCCTCATGTTTAAACATCATAGCAGAGTTCTTTTGATAATATGTAACCATGGGCAGGAAACCATAATGAACGACATAGCCCTCATTCAAAGTACTCATTGCTTATTTGAGTAGTGGAATGTCTTCAGTTATTGATTCCCATCTGTAATGCCAAGAGGCACTGCCACACTGCAGCTCAGTAGCACAGCAGACTCTGTTCCCAAGACTTAATGGGTAGCCAGGCAGGAGACAAAAGAATCAGAGGGAGGCACAGAGGTACAGAAAGGCTGTGCTGGCAGCTCGCATCAAACAGCTCTTTGCCGTAACCACACTGCACAGATTGCTAAGCCTTTGCCTTACTGACTAAACGAAACAGTGTTTCTCTATGGAAATGACAGGAATAATTGTTTGCAAAGCAGATACAATTTTGTAATTTTAAAATTTTTAAATTGCAACTTTAATTTTCTGGTATTGATTCCTATGCAGATTAAAGGGATTTATGCACGGTGCTCTCTGCATTTCTCAGCAGCAGCCTGGGGAGAAGCAATGTGGAAATCGCACTCGGAACTGTCTTGAACTACAATAATCTATTTTTATTTATGATGACATAACCATCTGTCACACAACTTTTTTCAGTGAGGCAAGAATCTGGCAGCCTACTCCTCCTCTCCCAAATGGTAGGTAGGGAAGGCTCCTGCCTGCTCTTCTCCACACTCCCTTTAGACCAGTTTCTTTCCCAAATCAAAGCACTGACAGCCATAGCTGTGCAACAGGGAACGGGAGCCAGGACTTAAACAAAGAGCAGTTCCAGTTTTCTCAAGTAAGAAACAGCTATTACAAGTTTCCAAAGGCAAATGTAGTGACTGTAAACTTCAGATATTTAAAATCCAACCTGCAACCAACCAGAATCAAAATTCTCTAACCAGAATACAATTTCTGCAATCATTTCAACAGAAATCGTAACCAAAACAGTAGTTTAGCAAAAGCAAAAAAGTAAGCTTTCAGTAATGAACAGTTTTGACCTTTCTGCTGTAAATGGAGGTAGCATGAAAATTTCCATCTCCATTTTTCATTCAAGGCAAAGTTAGCTCTAAGACAAAACAGACATTAACATGAAAGAAAAATCAACATTTTTCAGTAGCCTCAGAAAAACCCACTTAGTCCTTTCATGACTTGCACTAAAATTTGTGCAAAGGAATTCTGAATCCTATAGCCGAGTCAACTCCAGCTTCTCCAATCTTTTTTTTTTTTTTTTGACATCCCAGTTTGAAGTAGACACCTAAAATTTTGTTGTGCACATCCAGAACTGTTCCATGAGTGTGCATAAGGGAGATCTCTGAGCCCCAACATCAGCAGACTCCTTCAGAAACAGCCACTGTTAAATGGCCAACTGAGAATGCAATAGCATGTTTAACACACGTGAACTAGGAAAATCTAAATGGTAAGACAAGATTGACTAAATAGTACAAACACCCTGAATTGATTAGTAGCCAAGTGGATAGGAAGACTGCAACAGCGTTCAAACAAGGCAGAGATGCAAAGTGTCATACAACTAAGGTACTACAGAGAACAAACTTCTCTCTGGTATCTATTAACTTTACAGGTATATATTCCAGGGACAAATAAAAACTCTGCAACCCCCAGATCCTGCTTAACATATCAAAAGCAATTAGAAATAGCTATTTTACACTACTTCATACAGATAAACATACCCAGCTTCCCAGAAGAACTGATCAGTGTGAGCCGAGTGCCAGGCAGCTAATGCTGCATCTAGAATCCCATCTAGCTTGTTTGGAACTAGCTCAGGTATCACTTCATGGCACTGCATGAAGCCATTTAAATGAACTTAAAAGTTAACAGGATGGTTCCACAAGGGAAAAAGGAAGTAACACATTAATACTGGGTACCTTCCTTAAACTTACAGTCTTAATATGACAAAGAAATTACTGTCTGATATAATGTGTTTCAAATATGACTAATATTAATACAACCATATTTTTCAAAGAGTTTTTTTATTTGTCTGCTTCCCTTCTTGGATATACATAGCATACACAGCACATAGTTTTTAGGTTGGTATATTATTCAAACATGAGATCTAAGTCCAAATACAAAACTCAGTGATCCTCTTTGCTTTGAACACAAGAGGTTAGCTTCCTCACATGAAAAGCCAACAGACTTACCAGAATACCTCTATACTGTAAGACTTCTGGAAGCAGAGTATTAAACCCTAGTTCAGATATACATAATTTCATAGTACAGAAAATATATTACCTTTACGAGAAAGAGTTTTATAAGAATTCCTTCAAAAAAGTAAACATTCATGTAAGCCTCCAACTCTATCAACCTCCCAAAATCAACTGTAGTCAAAGACCACTATGGCTACCTGCGCCTTCTGGACATAAGACCATTTTAGAAGAGCACCATCGTAACAGTAAAATTTTCAATCAATCCTTTAGCTGTCATAAATATACTTATTTCATAATTAAAAATACAGAAATCTCACATTTCTCAATTACAATTTGTCAACTTGATATAAGCATATAAAGCAATATAGGACCCTCCAGCACAGAAAATCCACAAAGCCCTTACTGTCCATTGTAAGCAAAGTCAAATCACATGTTTTCACAAAATGCAGTATTCCTGACACAAAAAAATGTTTAGCTTGGCAACAACTGTGGTTAAAAAAAAAAAAACAAAAAAAACAAAAAAAAAAAAGGAAAAAAGACAAGTTTAAAAGTAGGATATGCAAAACCTGTCTAAAGCAGGCCCTTCTAAACTACATCTGTCCAATGACCAGATTCAATGTACGTTCTCACAGAAAGAAGTGTACAGTGTTCCACAGGAATTGTTCAGCATTGCAAACAATAGCACTCATGTGCTCCACCTCATTTTTGTTAAATTACAAGTTTTAATAATTCAAATAATTTCTCATCCAGATTTTAAAACACCAAGATATTAAACATTAGAAGTTCACAGGTTAGTTTTAAAATTCTGTTCCCAATCTTAACATGTACAGTAAAATGTACTTTTGAGGCATCGCTGAAAAATCCAAGCAGGAATTGATTGTCTTACATATAACCAAAACCATTCAAGAAATAGTTGGTCTACTTTGAGTTCAAAATTTCCATGTTCCCACGAAGGGGAACAGTCTTGACGATTTGAATTTATGTATTCTATAAATGTTAGTAACGTACAAAACTTGGCACTAGAACTGCATCTTTCAGAGCCATACAGTCTTCACATGCACTGTAACCTACAGTCAAACATTATTTCCAACTGTGCTGGAAATTTTCTATTATTCTATATCTGACTTTTCTATTAAAAATAAACATAGGCTGGATTTTTGTCTTAAAAAGCCTATCTTCTCCCACAACTTGAAAAACAAGTATCAAAAAGGAACAAACAGCAAAAATAGAAACAAACACATTGTGCTAGTTATGAAGCTCTGACACCTGACAGCCACAGTCTGAGGAACATTAAAAAAATTCCTATATACAAATTTATATACACACTATGATTAAGAGCTTAAGAAAATTACTATATCTGTTTTTGCATTTAGTTCCACCACTTCTGCATCTAGCTGCAACTCATGCAAACACATTTTCAATTGTATTATTGTGCAATAATCTTTTCTATTTGGTCTGGCCACAGAATTAGGTCAAGGGTTTCACCTGTAGGTATCTAAAAGTATGCACTTTTCATTTAAATGTTAGGCCTTAGTTCCTTGGGTAAAACATAGCATATTTAGAAGTTCGAAACCCAAGCAGGTCTCTCATTTCATTTCGGAATTTTGACAAGTCTTGCCGCAGTTCATTCAGGTTTTCCACAGTTGCCTGATCTGTGCTTTGCATCTTCTGTCTCATGGAGGTCAAGTAACGGTGGACTAAGCAACACATCACCTTTTGATAATTCTCATCTCTCTTTTGCTTCAGATTTCTCCATTCCTTTAAACAAACATTACACATTTACTATAGAAAAGCGATTTTTGAGGCCTAGAGTCCATATACAATTATACAGAGAATAAAAATAACAAAATAACAAAGCTATTTTATAGATACATCCTGATGCACACAAATGTACAATGCATGTAAATTGCCAGAAAAATTTAAATTAAATTATAATGTGCTGTACCAGCAAAATTGAAAATTTTTAATCTACCTGGCTTGGTAATCATCCTATAAGCAATTAGAAGTTGCATAATCCTGAATGTTTCTCAGTGCACATTCCATAGAGTCTTTGAAATTAGTTTATTTAATGCTATTTTTGTCAGTAAGAAGATGTAAAATTAGTATGCAAAATTACAGGGTGCAATCAAAATGTTTATTCAACAAAAAAATATCCCTCCCCCCAACAACGACGGGCTTCAGTGATCCTATTTCGTTATTTCTCTTGACACTTCTGTAATATGTTTAAAACCAATTACCTTCCCCAAAGAATACTCTAACATCACCAATTTTGAAATTAGCATGTACTTCCTTGAGGTTTCTTTGAGCTTTCCATCAATCAAAGCATTTTTTCAGACTATTTCTGGGGAAATTGGAGGCTAGAAAGAAGGGGTTGAAATTCCCCAAACTGAAAGTTAATAGAATCTTACTTAAGTAGAAATAGGTAACACTTACTTACTTATATTTTGGATGCAACACACATTATTCTCTATTTCCTATCTTAGTAGCACTCACCATGCGACAGGCAGCTTCACGCAGCAATTTGCTGATTCATTTCAGCAAGCAGCACCTTTCCAGCTGCAGAGCCTACAGTTTTCCCAATCATTTCTTACCTTTAGGCTGTTCTGACGCTTCACTTTGCCGCTTGATGTATGAGAGCAGATCCATTTACTGAGACTGTTGAAAAGATAACAGATAGTCTTGGGAGAGGGAATAACATTGAAAGGCGGAGGTAGCGTGCATTTGTCATCAAAGTAGCTAAGCCAAAGCTTGGCACGAGCAAACTTCCATTCCTTATCTTCATGATTCTAAAGCATCAGAAACATTAACAGAGATCAGAAGCAAAAATATTAACAGGCTATTTCGCAAGTTTTATTTTCTCATAGCTTAAAAACTAACCGTTATTTGATTATATAGTATTTTAATATAATTATATAGTATTGTAATAAATTTGTTACTAATATTAATTAAAATACAAAACAAATCAATTCACTGTATACTCTAGTGTAAGTACAAAATTCAGCTGTGAAGGCATAAAACCCCTATCAAATGCCCAAGCACCACACCTTATCAAGAATAGCATCTTGACTTCAACAGCCATTGTAATCAAGAAATACTTCAGTCCCCAGAGGTCCAAAGCCTTCCACACGTTCACCATGCAAAGTACCCATTTTATTTGGATCAAAGTAAATAAAAGTTTCGTATTTGAAGGAAAGATGCCCCTTGTGAGCTTGGAGACAAAGCTCATCCAGAGAGGTCTGTAGATTAGTCTACACATCGTAGGAAGAAATTTGCGTAGATCCAAAGATACAGCTAGTAATTATCGGTAATTAATCAGAAACCACTTACTGCTATCAGCTGAAAACTTTTATGAAGCATTGCCACAAGGAGTTTAGTTAATACTATCACAACCACCACATTGTAGGTACCAACAATAACAGCACCCACAAAAGACTGTAATTCTTCACCATAGCTAAAACGTGTGACAAAAATTGCTACATGTGCCAGGGAGAATATATACCAGAATAGAGCAAAACATGTGCCAATAAACCTACAAAAACAAGAAAAAAAAATCTGGTTAGGTAAAGCAAACACCAAAAGTGAGTTTACTTAATGTAAATTCAAGTTCAGTGAAACATTGCAGTTTTGTTTAATTACTAGAATTAAGGGCTAGAGCAATACAGCTATTTCATAGACATTAAACTCACGAATGGAATGTGTCATTGCTCTGTTGTTCACAGAAAATCCCCGCGCAGTCTTTTTCTTCATTTACAGTAAATCCTTTGTCATAAAGTTGTGTCAATCCAATTGTGAACGAGAACAAGACAAGAAGAAACATGCCCAAAAATTTTCCAAAATCTTGTAGCATCTGACCCATTGAAATCTGTGAAATAGATTTGTTTTCAATTTTAGTAAAGCACAGTTATTTTTGTTTGTATTCTCTCCTTCAGCCTCTAATCAAGAAAAAATACCTGTTTACATTTTAAATGTCTTAACTTAAATTTTAACACGCTAAGCAGACCTTAAAATCAGGAGGAACCCTTGTATCATTTTCCAGTGAAAAATTCTAGATATTAAAAGAAAATTTAAGTAGTTTTAACGTCACTTGATAAGTTGTTATCTTTCAATTAACCATAAGCAATAGTATGTACACATTATTCATTATTTGTAATACTGATGGTGATAAGTAACTCACAAGTCAATAAATAAAAGCAGTAAATGAAATGCATTTGAACATAAATACCATCAGAAAACACTTAATAAGGACACTGAATTAATCAAAACATTTGTACACGTAACTAATCACTAATCAAGTAGTAGTAAACCAAAGCCCATCTGCAGAACACAGAATTAATTTAGTGTATGTTTTATCTAAGATTTTAAAAATACACAAAGTGTAGGTGTGTAAACACAAAAAAATTGAAGGGTGTAAAGTATAGAAGATATGACACTAAATTCAGATCATTACTGTCTATTTCAACATATCTTATACAGAAGCTTGCAACAGTACAAATACAGTATCTTTAAAGAAAAACAATCATGCTTGTGCGTTTTCCCAACGCAGAGAAGACCTTGATTTACTTTTGTCATAACCACAAATTTTTACAGAGACACAGCAAAAACTGTTTACAGCATTTATATTGCTCTTCCTAGAAACCTCTTCAGAGAACAATATAGTATTATAAAGAATGCAAATATACAAAATGGGATCAGGTAAATCTAATCCTCTATATAAATCAGCGTGTGGAAAGCCTGATCCTATGTGAATCACAATCTGTACCAAATCATAGTCCAGAATTGTGTCACTGGTCAGGTTTTGCAAGTACAGGTTTACTGGGAGATGAAGCATCAGCTCCTGCTCCCTCCCATGCTGCTGGAAACTCACTGAGTACCCTGTTGTGCAGCACATTCTCTCTGATTCTTTGCCACGGACATGAAGAATCTGCAACTGTGGGCAGAGCTATGTGGTAATTATTTCATTTGGTCAGAGGATGAATGTAATCCCTATCATACTGTTTCATCACATCTATCCTTTTAAAGAAAAAAACCCACAAAGACAACAAAACATTGATCATTTAACTAGCATATGGTCGCAAGCAAGAGAGAGACAAAGTAGATCAAACAGGGATGCACAAAAAATGCAAACCACCCAAAACTATTTTGTTTGGAATACAGTATAACACCACAGCCCAAATACCAGTTGCTTTCTTCATATAGTCATGCTATTCCTTCCTAAGTATTCAGAATTTCTAAGCATTTGAAATCTAATGATCTAATCTAGGGGAATAATATTCCATCTTCTGTTAATAATAAAAAAACCACCACACACAGCCAACTTACAAATCTGTAATAAAATATGTTTTATTAATCAGTAAGTAAAATAACTGAATGCTTAAAAATAACTAATAGCCAAGAGAACACAGTAGCTGTCTTTCCCCCCATGCACTGTTGGGTTTCCATGCCATATTTGATTACCACCATTTGAACTTTGTGACCTACTTTCAGAAAATACTGTAAGGGTTGTTGCACAAGCTGTACTGGCCAACAGTAATAACATAAGCTTCAGTGTGCCACTGAATGGAGTGACTGTTGACTGTTTTTATTTACTTGGAAAATTTCACAACATAGCCTCCTAATAAAAAACTTGTGAAAGATCTAGTACATAAATAAATATTCATATTAAACAGCGAATCTCTTTAAAATGTGGGGACGCTTCAGTGTTCAATCAATTTGTATAACAAGCCTAATGCTTACTGCAACATCAAGACTTTAGTATTTTTTTTCGAAGTATGAAAGTACATTTCCATTTAAAAATGTATAAAAGAAAAAATATAAAAATAATTAACAGCAACATAGTCACAGCTAAAGAGAAAAGGGCAAGAAGTAAAACAAGCAAAACCTTGAGAGGAGAAATAGGCATCTTCCAATATTAAACTGGTTAAAAGAACTACGAACATTTTTTTTAAAGCACTTTTTCTGATGATTTTAAAAAGACCAATTTAACAAGCCATTATTTTGTATTAAATAAACATATTCTAAAAGATAATTATTTGTGCAGCAAGGTAAAGTACTCTTAACTCATTAAAATGAGCTGAACCTTCAAGCTGGAGGCTTTCATCTAGACCCTCAAGCCTCCATACAAAACCTAGTGATCTGAGCCAAAATTATTTACTTCAGAACCTGTATTAAAAAAAATATGCTGCTCCCAAATATTTACTCTGCCTTTATGTTTAATAGTGGCAATGTTTCTTGCATGATCCTTTCAGATCATCTTCTTGCCACAAAGCTCTTAAAAGTAGTCCTGTTCATGAGAACAGAGGACAAAGCATTGATTTGCTTTCCAGCAAATTCCACCAGTATAATCACTGGATAACTACCCTATTTATTCCAAGCATCTTTTCATCCGACAGACACTTACAAAACCTAGTGATGATGTTGACAATCAGCTATATTAACTAAATCGTACCACTATCAGGGGGGAAAAAAAAAAAAAGAATAATTTTTAAAACCCCATCAGTACAAGAAAGCAGTGATTTGTCTGATCTCATTTGTTGTCGTATATCTCCCAGGAAGCGAGGCCAGAGAAGCTGGAAGCATACCTATGCAAAGCTTTTTTCAGTAAGCTATGTTTTTAATAACAGGTACTTTACTTTGTAAGCGCTTTTCACTGGCAAAGTAACAAAATCAGTCAGTGCTGAGGACTTGAGCTGAACAGAAAAACCACAGATGGGAAGAAAGTGTTGCTAGTGGAGTAAGAGGTAACTTCTACTCACAGTATTTTTTAGAAGGAAGCTTTCTGCCTCCTTTAAATCTAAAAAGGATTGAGGGAGATAATTGCACCCTAAATGTCTTAATAATAATCCAGGTTCCCTCCCCTACTCCCAAGCCTTCTGTATAGTGTCATATTGCACCCTCGGGTCCACCCAGTTTATCTGAAGTTTATCATGATGAGTAGCACCCAGATTAAGAAAAGAGGGTCTGTGCTTAAAAAAAAAGAAACCAACTAACAAAAAAACCCACTACATGGTATAAACTCAGTAAAAAAAATCCATGTCTGCTCTCAAATCAGGAAAACAAAATTAAATTGTTTGCATAAAACCAGGTTAAATTCCAACTTTTAAGTGAAAAATTTTAATTTAGCTTAGAAACTGTTGTAGTCTCTACTGTTCCAGCATCACAACACAAGACTGTTAATGCTCACCACCACCACCTCCAGACAACTGAAAGTACTACATAATTAAAATGTGTTTTTTTACTGTCATTATTACTCACTGTAAGGCTCCAGAAAATTCCAAGTATGAAACCTGTCCTCCCTTCATAACTGACTATAAATAGATGACTATTTCAATCCTCTTGAGAGATTTGTCTTTTTCAAACCAAAGCAATTTGCACAATTCAACTCAACGTGCAACTTCAGTGAGATCAGAGACATAAACAGAAAGGCTTTTGATTACTCTTGCCTTGCCACACATCTCATTCATCTATTTTTCAGAGATAACAAGTTAGGACAATCATTTGCATAGAACTTTATAGGATGAACCTGATCCTTACAGTTTTCAAGCTGCAGACATTTATGCAGTATGTTAAGCTAACAACAGATGAAAACAATAAGACAGTGTACGTACAGTTATCATGGAAAAAAATACTATTAAAAAGTGAATAATAGATCTTCCATTCTTTTTCTTACCTTTTTCCCTCTAAATCAGTATGTTTTACATGCGAGATTAAAAAACCAAATTTCAATGCACTTTCTACTTTTACTTTCTGACTTTCTTACTCTTTATAGCAAATTAAGATCAAGTTCAGTATTTTCTCAAGTAGTAATGATATTCACCTGGAGTGGTCCCAGAATAGAGCTGGTTGTGTACATGAAGAAGAGACGCAGATAACTAAGGACATTAGCAAAAGCAAAAAGACCTTCTGCCACTAAGGTAGGATGGAATGCATCCCAGTCCTTCCTTTCAGCGTAATCATGAAACTGCAATATAAAAAGGAAAACTGAGATCACTCACATTAGAAATACAGAAATACAGAAACGCACCCATGTACCGCTCCCTACTTCTGCCTCCAAAACAGGCAATAGCATAAAAGAAATGAACACATATGATTCATGGATGGCTTACCTCTCGTATATCTCACTCTTTTCAGACAAAGGCATTTTAAAAGCCATTCGAGAGGGAGCCAGAAATCAGATGATTTAAATTCAACACCTAACTGCCACTCACTTGCTCAGCAAACCATTGGTTCCTCTGTTCTGCTTTCCCTTCTACTCTGTTTTGTATGGTTTGTTGAAACAGGGACTCGTGTACTTTATAAACATGTGCACTGTCTACTGTAACAGGCCTCAGTCAAGAACAACATTAAAATGCTGCAAAGAAAACAGCTGGTCTTAACCAGCTTTAGAAAGACTTGGGAGCTGGGCTTCCTTCAATGGATTTTATAAATGACTACAGAGAATGGAAGTCACAAGTAAACTGTTGGTGTAAACACACCCTTGAAGTATATCCACTAGGTACTATTCAACCATTCACAGAATATCCACAGGTCCCTAACTTTTGGCTTTGCTGAAAACATTCAGCATTTATATCACCAGCCTCTGCTGTCTTAAAATGGACATTCAAAAACTAAGGAACTCAAAGCTGCTTTAAACTAACTTGCCCAAAAGTGTGCTGCACAAAGATGGCAAGAAATGGGGATGACCATGTTTTTATACACTGCAATTGCATGTCTACAAAGCCTGCTGCAGAGACTCTTCCTTTATTTCTTACAGCTTCAGTGTCTATAATACGGACCCAAGACGCAAACCAAGCATTTGTATGTGGTTTTCTAAGTAATTTATAAACTATAAAACTAAATTTTGCCATATAAAATGGCCAAAAAAGCTATCATGTGCCTGTTATATAGGACAGGAGTCCTGCATCTTCAAAAAGGTTACAACTTAAATTAGCAGCAAAGGGCTCTCATCTCAGCAAAAGACCTACTACTACAGACATGTGATGGTTGCAAAGCAAATGGTCGGGAAGGCAGCTCAACATGGTATTCTCTATTTTTGCCAAGAAGCAGAGCTTTCCCTTCCAAATTATTACCAGCCTCTGAATCAATGCAAGGACAGGTAAATGAGCCAAACACCAAGTTGGGAAGAAGTGAACCAGTTCATTTCTCTTCCAACTGCCAGACAGCTGTCAAGTCAGTTTGCTATACAAAATAATGGTGCTACTGCACTGGCTTGAATTTTGCTAAAATACTCATATTCAATTGGTCTGGCAGCTTGCCATATGCTGTGCAGCTAACAACACATGCAACAGAATGGGAATGATAGTTTTCAAAATGTTTATCTTCAATCAAATCCAGATGGCTTTTCAAGAGAAAAGACAAGGCTCCTCTATGGGCTTGGGGCTTTCGTCCCTACTACCATAAAAAACACCAAACAAAAAAGCCCCCAGCAAACAAAAAAAAATTAAAAAACCCACCAGAACCACTTATGACATTTGAGTATATGTAATCAAAAGCTAAATAAAACCTTCTGTAACAAAAATGTGCTAGGCAATCTAAACACAGAGATTACTACTAGCGTTCTCCACAGTACTGGTCTATGGAATCAGGCGAGCTCAAATGCCGAATCAGATGAGCATCAGATTTCCCCAAATGAAAATCAAGCCATCCACAAGACCAGCCAGTTCTTGCAAGTGAGACAGTAGCACTGTTTGGAGTCCCTGAGTACTTGGACATGTCTTGATGTGTTTTCTAACTCCCATTTGCCTCATCAAGTTTTCTTTCAAGCCCAACTCCCATTTGTTTCATCAAGTTCTCTTTCAAGCCCAAAATGCAACAAGACCAGAGATCTTGACAACTACACAGCATATACCACACAGTACATTTAACTCACAAGCCCAAACTGTATCCACATAGTAAGCTATTACTAATGTAGTACACTTATTTACAACATACTACTACTAATATACCATACATAACGTATCTTCACATATTTTGCAGCCACGTACTAAAATTGTATGTGCCCAGTCAGTCCCAGAGGAGCTTTGGATCTATGAAGATGGGTGCTCACCTTATTATGGGCAACAACTTTGAGGGCAAAAGTGGCCAAATACAAGGAATTCATGACAAAACTAAGCTGATTACGGGATTCTTCTAAAAAGTCTTCTAAACCATCATACCAGAGTCTTTTAACATCTGACCACACCATTCCTGCAGGAAGAAAAAAAGCCAGGGAAATCAAGCCATTGCACTGAATAGGTATTCTTTTACAAATAAAGCACTTTTAACTGGCTTTTGTAAATGATATTTTAGCAAAGAAGAAGAAGTGGAGTAATCAAGTAAATTTACTAAAAGCACTGCATTGGATTACAAGTGTTAATCATAAGGCAATGAGATGTTTAACCTTTTCCAGCCTACTTTCCAACTAAGAAACACATTCTCTGATAAAAAGGGGCATGAGGGGAAACGAACAGGAGAAAACTTGCACAGAAAATGTAAAATTTAAATAAAGATAGAAGCCTAGAATACAAATGTTTTTTCTGAATGAAAAGTGCTCACCTTTTCCCAAAAGCACTACAGAAAGCATTACAGTACTATATAAAAGTATTTTTTAGAAGTATGTAGGTATTATAAACCAGTTTTTTAAGAATAATCAGCTCTGTAACTGTTACTGAAAATATCCAAAAAGTAGAAACTTTTCCTACCCTAACTGGTATTAAACAACATTAGCAGAAAAAAGAGACCATGACTTGAGATGGCAAAAATGAGTTTAACTTAGAGCGACATGCTCAGGATCTTTATAGCAAACTGAATTTTACCATTGTTAACCATGTCTGGCTATATGGAAAAATACAGTTGCTAAGAATTTTACTAACTGAATGTCTGTTAACAGTCTTGACATTTTTATAAAACTTGAAAGGACAGTTAGATGAAATATAAAGGTACCTTTGATTTCTATGAATAATCAGTTATTTAGTGTTTTTTTGAGTACTTCAGATGTATGCTACTATATTTAGGACAAGAAAAGCAATGTGTATAAATGGTAGTTAAAAACTGTTAGACTTGGTTCAGCTTTTAGGACTTTGCAACTTCTCTAAAAATTTGGCCCAGTAAGAGCAAATCCAGTGAATGAAAAAAAAAACAACAAAAAAAAAAAAGAGATACTTATGCATGACTACTTGTTCAGTCAGCTTTACAGTAATATTGGAAGGCATAATAAAAAAAAAAGTGTGCTACGCACAGTTCATTAAAAGACTTGTATAAATCTCTCTTCTTACTGGTTATAAAGAAAGTATTTCTAAACCAGAATCTTTGTGCCTCTCCATAGGATCACCATGTATTTTACACTAAATTTGTTAAACAATCAGTAAAAGGAGTTAGAGAAGTACAAGATACTATAATTGATGTTGTTTACACACACAAGAATTTGAGCTCTGTTACTTTAATTTTGCTGGGGAAAACAGTTCTATGATTTACGTTCAGTAACTTAGAAACTGTATTCATAATTTTGAAAATTGATCTAGCAGAACACAAAACTTGCTGCTAATTAAGTGTTAGAAATTCTGCCATGGCCATTTTGACATTGATTTTTAGAAACTATGTTAATGGGATTATGGAAGACAATAATGTAGGTAAATCCTTGTTTCTTGGTTCTTTTTATTCCACCTGATTTTGTCACACATTTTCTGAATACATTTAACTTACTGAATATTTGTAAGGAAACAGTACAATATGTCATTACAAAATATGCATTTAAGCGATAAATGCAATTACTATTAAAAAAAATCTTAAGATTGAATAATATGAAAAAAACCTGATTTTAACAATTTATGTTACTTATAGGTAATTCTTCAATCCTATCTGAAATCCATGTTAAAATATTATATGAAGAAAATAAAATGTTTCTCTAGCCTTTCATTAAAATTTCCAAGACCACCTAATGACACACTTTCTGCCTACATTAGATCTGATAGAACAAAAGATTTCTAAAATCAGATATTTAATCTCAAAACAAAGGAGGAATCTGTAACACTGATTTGTACTCTACATTTGAGGTTTTCGAGTTTCTTTTAAGACCTGCATGCATTTGTGTGTTGAGTATTGAGTATTTCCAAAGTCTGCGTGAACTACTCAACAGTTTTAATATAGCTCAACAATGCAAGGAATTGGCATTACAAAAACCCCCACCCTAAAATAGCAAAGAAACCACCCACAACTACTTAGATAAAAACTATGGTGGTTTTGACTATATCATTGCTTTTTGCAAGTCCAGTCAACCAAATGATAAATATCTAATTATCTTACATTAAGGTATACGTTTCCATGAATTTATTTACCAAATTTTAATGTAACAACAAACACACACCAAAAAACCAAAACCATATTAAAAGGTTTTATGACTTTCCAACCAAAAGTTCATGAATACTCAACAAAAGTTATACCCGTGCTCCCTCTAGTGCATCAACCAGAATTAACACGCATCCTTTCAGGTACAGTTATGATAATTGAAGACAATGACATACTAAAATGGAAAATTATAATATGGGAAAATTGCACTTGTTTCTGTGTTTTAAAACAACGATGAGGTGAATGCACACCTTCAATTTATTAGACTAAGATGGAGTATGCATGCATATGCATGCATACATGAAGACATACAACATACACTTTTAGCCTTTAAACAATATGCCAACTCTGCAACAAGCCTTAATTGTACCATTGATTACTTTTCAAATCAAGCATTACAGAATTGGTCATTAAAGACTGAGTTGTTACTTACTGTTGATGTACCATTAAACTGGGTATTTTGTGCATATATATTCAAAGTCCTCTCCCTGAGTTGAGTAGAGTGCTCTAAAATTTCACGTTTACAACTGTGAAAGAGATTCTGCAGAAACCTAAATTTTTACAATTGTTTAAAGTTGGATTAGGCCAACAAAAATGTACAGAATCCTCCTGTTCTATCTAGTTGGAGCATATTAAAATGGAAATGAAAAGTACACAAATTGATTTTATGACTGTCACTGCATGCTTACTCCAGCTCCTTACAATCCAGAAAAAATATAATTAACTTGCATACAATGCACAAATACTTTTAATCTACTTTATGATTACATAAAAGAGCTTAGCTAGATTTTCAAAGAAACAATAATTTTAATAGTAATATTTAGATCCTAGCATAATTCCATACAGACACACAAGTAATAAAGAAGCTCAGATCATTCCTATTACTTTTTTATAGAATTCACAGAATCATGGAATATCCTGAATTGGAAGGGACCCACATGGATCATCAAGTTCCACTACTGACTTCACACAGGGCAACCTAAAAGCAAAACCATGTATCTAAGAGCATTGTCCGAATACTTCTTGTAAAAGGGAGCTGGAAGAATTAAAAGTTTTGTTGATTGTTGGCTGATGAAAAAAAAAAAAAGTTTGACTCACAGTGATTAAAGCACCTACATACTAAATACTACTACCTATTCATGAAAATTTATTGGAAAAATTTATTCCTCAACTTAGCACCAAGGAAAACCAGCTGATGAGAGGCTCTTACCTGTTACAAAACAATTAATCTGAAGAACACGTACTTGCTTTGCCTTCATGTTATTTTTCTTTTTTTTTTTTCTTCAAGATCAGAATTTTAAAATGTCTAGGCAGATACACGGCTTTTACATTAACTTACTATTGCACAACTGAATCTCCCTTGCATTGCTCTGAATGCTACCAGTCCTCCTGAAGAAAAATTCACATTCCTCCTCTGCTAGGTCCTACAACATTCTGTTTCTGATACTTCGCTTTCTGTGATAACTAGAGACTGCTGTAGCATTTCACATCCCTTCCTCAAAACATGTTTGTGGTTTTTTTTCCTGTAACACTATCCTCCAAGGAGAAAACTTTGGTCAAGCAATGAGTAACACGCTGATTTGGTAAGAAGATAGTACAAATCATTATTGTTCAATCAACATCAGTAATTGTCATCCAATCTACTCAAATCATACCTACCAATTAGCCATATTATCAGAAGATAGTCTATTCTCTCAAGGGCTGGTCCCATTGTATTCTTCTTATTCTCATTGTAGACAAGAGAGTACAAATTAAGTAGTAATAGAAATGTGAAATATGAAGCTCCATGAATAATAAACTTCATAAAAGGAGTGTGGATTATTCGACCTACTCGAGATTTAGGGGCTAACAAGTAACACAGGGACAGAACTGGCCAGAAAATGCCAACCATCAAAACAGTCAAAATTTTCTTGCATGTGTGCTTGCGTCGATAGCCTGCCATCTGTCCAAACCATACAGTGTTTAAAAACTGCTGGCAGTTAGACTGAGCAACAAACTGGGTGGGGGAAAAAAAAAGAAACAAACAAGAAATCAGTCTCAGGTTTCTTTATACAGATTATTAATTTACATTATTAAAATTCATTTTCAAACTACGTGTAGCTACCAATGAACAGGAAAAGGCAAGAATATTAAGTTGAAATAATTATCTCATGAGAGAACAAAAGTGCTATGGACCCACTTATAAACACCCATTATTTTAATTTCCTTCTAAAGCCAGCAACTAAACACGAATTACACATACTAGACTTCTAATGGTTTTCAGATTAAGAATTAGTTTGGATTTGTAATGATTTATAAATTTAGCATCTAAATAACATCATACCTCAGACAGCTTCATTGTCTGTTATAAAATACAGTGATCTTATCTAAAGAATAAAATACTGTTATTGTAAAATACTATCCATATTGTAAAACACAACACCCTGTAAGATGAGGACTAAAGTGGCCAAGCACTTTTACAGATATCTGTTCTTAAAATCATTATGGCTCTATTCAGCAGGGTTAATTTTAAATCAGAGTAAACTATGTTGTATCAGTCCCTCAAAAGAAAGTAACTTTGGCCTGAATGTTATGTAGATTATGCAACAGTAGTTTCAAATTTCAGGTGCTAATGTGCATGGAGTTAGAAAACAATGTATTTCACTAGAGGATGTTTTGCCATTTTATCTAAAAAATATCAACAAAAAGAACCTTGATATTATCATCACATTTTAGAAAGCATCACAAAAAATTGTCTGTATAGTAAACTTGCCAGGAATAAAACATATTCTGCGAAGATACTTTCCTCATACCACACAAAAAACGTTGTTATTCACCAACCACTGTGGTAAAAATAAGCTATGCTCAAAACCAGAAGAACATTGAAACACTTCAGTATGCTTGTTTAATGCATACCAGGAATGTGCAATGCTGGTTCTAGGACATTCCGTAACTATGGCTTATGACTTTTGAACACTATGTGTTTTAACAGTTTCACAAACATTTTAAGCCTAGATACGTAGAACAGACAGAATTACAATGCCTTCTGCAAACGCTAACTAATTTTGCATGGAAAGGAAACTTTCTCTCTGTCCCTGGTCCTTGTATTAGAATCACACAAATACCCATTTGCCTTCTGGTACAGCAAAACTAGAGTTATAATTTGTCAAGTAATAAAGACAATGACCTACTGCATGAAATAAGTTCCATACTGATGGCATAAAAAGGCGATACTCTTCTGGAACAGAGGCACTATTCAGTTATACCAGCATAGGTCTAATTACTGAACAGCACAAATGAGGCCTGAGACAAAGCTGAACAGCTAATGACAAGCAAGAAGATGACAAATCATGTATGGCACCTGAGGATCTACACTTCCCTTAATGAGGATCTGAACAAATAATTACCACTACCAGAGCTGTTCAGAAAAGAGCAGTAGTCCATACTCCAATACAGAAAATGCTACATTCTCCTCTACATTCTCCTCTGCAGTGAATACTGAAGAAACATTCAATATCTTGCAATATCATTTCCTTGTTTCACATGCAGATGTTGTGTGTATTACTATGTCCTCTATAACTCTTGCAAATTTATTTCCACTTCTATGTCTAGAGGCAGAACAACAAATTAGATTAATTACTAGCAAAATATGATATGGAAAGCCTATCAAATTACTGCAAGGACAAACCTCTTTTTGATTATACTTGATTGCAAGTTTTAAGCGGCTTAAGTTCATCCTCTCTTCCAACAACCCTCGCTTGTCCACATGTTCATCACTAGATGTGTGATTCAGAATAACTTCCAGCTCTCGTGAATTCCGTGCTTGTGCAAGCAAATCTTTAGCAAAGGTTTTGCACTGTTGAGCTAGCTCCTCATAATCATTTCTGAAAGACACGGAAACAGTACATACTATTACACTGCTCACATATTTTCCATTAAATCATTAACTATCCATTTTTGGTTGGGATTGTACATCATGCTAAGACAAATTAAAAAAAAACCCAAAACAACAAACACAACAGTCCTATGTCAAGGTCCAAGCATTTCGAAGACAGCTGTGAGTAGGTTTCATCATGTAACATGACTACACTTTAGTTTAGTTTGCATCTCCACTAGACAAAGGAAAATTGATGAATAGACTTACAGTATACAAATTCTTATCTTATGAGTTCCATATAAAGAGTTAAAGCTGAGAATTATTTCCAGTAGATGAGAAAAGTGTAGTAGTCAGAAAATACGGCACTGGTAAGTCATCATTTGGACTTTCCACTTGGAAGAGAAGTTGTTTTGGGTTTTGCTTTATTCCTGTCATCTGAAAATTAAAGTCTATTCACTGAATACTATTTGTTAATATAATAAACACAAAAAAAGAATGATGATTTGCTTCTCTCACCTGGCACATGGTCCATTTTAGTGCCAAGTTCTACCACAAAAATGCAATAGTTGAACTCCTACTAAGACAGACAATCATCTATAAAACCAGAAAATTCTATGTTATTGAGGAAAGTAGAATTTTACGCCATACAAACATTTGCTTTCACGTTCTCAGAAAGCTTTTGTGCTGGTAAGTTTCAAAATGGTAGAAGCCTGCATAGTTTAAACAAAATTATACTGTCATTAAATAGACAGGGCATTTTCAGCACGAAATCTACACACATATGCATATTATATACATACACACTGTTAAGAATCTGTAATACAAGGAGCAAAATTAAGAAACAATACCCAAAACAACTCCCAGCGTGAATCAGGTCAGTATAGACAAGGTGTTGCATACTTCTACCCTGACATAGAGAAAAAAAAAGTGCAGGGTACTAATGAGCTATTGATATGATTAAGAGGTGTGTGATCTTGAAGTAAGTCAGCATTTAGAATAATTTCCATTTATTTTTCCAGAGTAGAACTGAAGTTTGAACTCTTGGTGCAGCCATACATATTGAAATGTCTACACCTAAAAGAATTTAAAGTAACTAAACTGCCAAAATGACTGCTAATGCGGCATAAATTATTTAACTTCTTATTATGTCTAATTATCAGTTTAAACACTCCAATTACAAAAAATTAAGAGTAAACCTTTTCTAATGCATACACATTTCTATACATGTAATTTCATAAAAGTATTAAAGTTGGTTTGTGTTTTCAATTCCTACCTGAATTCAACCTCAACAAGGCTTAATTCTTTCAAGTCTGCACTAAGTTCAAAAGCTCGCAGGATTGGATCCTCCTCTGTCAACATTATTAAAGCAGGACTGGCCAAACACCGATAAATGTCAAGACGAAACCTGTGACAAAAGAACAGCAAGCAAAATGATGATGTTCTATTTGATTAGCAGTTTCAAGTCAGAACCTATTCCAAAAGTTTGCATAAAACAGTCAGCTGAAAGACAAAACAATTGGGTTTCTTAAAATCAGACACTACAAGCATTGAATGCGATATGTCATGGAAGATACTGTCCTTCACATACTTTGAATCCTTATTATTCTAAGTTATCAACAATTGACCAAACTTTTTCCCTCTTCTTCTCCTCACTACTTCAACTGTTACTAGCACATCAGCAGGAGGCCATCAGTTAAGGTAACAGTATTGGTAAAATTTTGACATTGTGTTATAGAGCAGCACTTATGGTTTTTCAGGTGGAAGTAAGAGAAGTAAAATTTAAGGCAATCTTCTATTTCAAAAAACTAAATTAAAAACAGTGGGGAGTTTTAATGTGCAATACAAAAAAATAAATTCAGGGACAGCATTTGAGGGGATGTTTTTGTCTTGCAAAACTAGCAACTCATGAACACCAAAACAAAGTCTGTTACCCATTCTAGTTAAGAGCTGTTATCTCAAACATGTCTATTGTTTGTTTGCTTGGGGTACCCTGACATCTTTTCTCATACTGAAGTTAACGACATGGGGTATCAGATGAATACCAGAATGTGGCTTGTAGTAGCTTAATACCAGTAACAATTACCCTTTCACTTCCCTTATTTTTTAATAATTTGGATACATACTGGAGTAATTATGTAATAATTAACTGTATATTGTAATTGCAGTCTACTTGCGATCTTTGAGTGCTGTGATTTTTCACCCCAACTCTCATATATTAAATTGTATTCAACCCTCAAATATGTTGTCAAGTTAACCAGACAAAATATTGTTAAGACTGGTAAATACCTCTCCTCACTTGAACCTTTATTAAAAAGCTTTCTACTTCAAAAATACTGAAGAAAAAAAAAAGAAAAAGAATTGTCTTTACTTTGCATACATCAATCCATGCTAAATAAATACTTTCAGAAACAGAATACAGAATTATCCACCTCCTCACTGTGACTCAAAAAACCCCAAATATTAACTAACTTAAGAAAATTTTTTTTTCCATAATTCCTATGGTCCCAAGCCAAAGATAGCTAGAATGTTTGTGACACAACTGGTAGAAAGGAAAGGCACTTAGCTTAATATACACAGCGACTAAGAGCATAAAACCAAAATGAAAAAAAGCGCCATTGCCTCCCACCAGCCTTTTCAAGCACAACCCATCCCCAAGAAGGATCGTCTCTCACAATAAAGGCTACAATATATTAAAGGAATCCATTCACAAACCTCACCTTAAAAAGGAAATACAATGAAACTGACCCACGCAATACCAGAGAATTAAGACAGGATTTTTTGTGTTATTGTCTATGACTGCTAAGTCTTACCTGGAATGTCGCAGACTATCTTTTTTGTTCTTTGCAGTACACAGTGTGCATTCACAGCCTACAGCATGAGGTTTGGGTAATGATATATCTTGCTTCAACAGCATGGTGAGAATTTCATAGTTGTTACGATGAGCAGCTAAAATGACAGGTGCCACATCCATGGTTGTTGAGTACTCTGGGTTCTGAATGCGTTCCATTAGTTTCTGGAATGTAGAGTAGAAAGTATCTAAATTTATTACATACAGTTCTACTACAGTGTTTGCATGTAAGGGTTTTTTTGACTGCTCAACAGTGAATCTCTCCTTCAAAATATTTTCCTATGCTTCCTAACACGAAAATAAGTAAACATTTGTAACAGCATTCAAACACCTCCCAGAGGAATACCAGAAAAATGGACACAGAAATGTTTCTGGTTTATTTACATAAAAACCTGACATTCTGTACCTACCTTCTCCAATATGTACGCATGGTATTAAAAAGTGCATTTTGCTCTAGTTTTAGAAAAAAAATTATGGAGTATATTTACTATCCAAGCGCAGAAAAAATACCTGGATTGTAGCATACTCTGTTACACAACACCTTATTCCTTCCCTCCCTCTACTTGTGAACTTTTCAAAAGTTATTTGATACTTAAGCATTGCCAAGGTCAGTCTCAACTGATTCATTTCAGGGTGAAGATTCAATGTTTATAGATTTGCTTGAAAAATCTATGAAACTTCAGTACATGAATATACCCATTATAGGTCAAGGCTGTTAATTACCTTGCAAACAGTCTACAAGAAAAGACTTTCAATCAATCTTTTTGGTTTTTTTTCCTCTTCTGGACTAACTAGGCATCTGTTAGCATTTGGCACGTACAAAGCCACTGGATTCCTTAGGCAATAAAGCAAAATAACATATTCTATCCTTTAAGACAAAAGATGCTATAAAAATAATCCCTCATGTCCAGATTCTAGCACCTTAGAGATGTAGAATTTCTCTTAAGAATGCTGTTTTAAATACTATGGTTACCCAGAATGCAATAGTTAGTCCCCACTCCCCAACCGAAAATCAAGGAATAACAAGACTCAACTACAATAGTTGGTCTGGAGGATCTTTTTGGTCGGTGATTAAGTAGAATGTCAACAGCTCCCACCACTTCCGAGTCAATAGCCACCAAAAGTGCATCGGATGACTAAGGAAAGAAAACACGTCATGTGTGAAAACAGCAGCAACTGAGACAGCATAAAGAGTCAAACTGAAGCCAAACTGCATTTTTATTTTTTTATGTATTATTTATTAACTTCTTTTTAAAGTACTAAAACAATGTTTTGTATTATCACCACACATATGATCAGGATACAAATTTAGGTTGTCATTCCAGGAGCTAGCACAGCATTACTGACAATTTGTTTCATTGCATGAACAGCAGAACCAACTGCAGAAATTACTTTCCAGCAAAGATGATGCAGGATACTTGCAAAAATCAAGTTCTAAGGGACAGTTTACCAGATTATCAAAAACATTAAAAGCAAGTGTCTGTGTAGCACAACTCATGCGTATGGGATACTTCATTCTGTGGTAAAGCTAGGAACATAAGGGTTTTTTTCTAGGCTGGTAACTACTTCTGAAATTTCTCTTAAGTTGAGCTAAGCAGCTTTCCTCTTTCACTACAGTTGATATTATTCTTTTTAACTCAGTTTAGAAAATTACAGTTTTTACTTTAAAAATAAAAGACATAGTTTTTATTATTGCCACTAAAAAGGAGATCCAGGGAGGGGAAAGCTGTCTTGCTTAAGCCATCATAGTCACAACTCTTCCAGCAGCAGCAGAGATGTTTGGGTATAGTTAAGGAAGTACTGTTGGCATGCAACTGCCTCTGCCATCAAGCACAGATCGAGTTTAACAAAAAAGCACTGCAGAAATGCCTGCTTGCCTTAACTTAAAATCATCTAATATAATGTGCATTTTTCTAACTGTGCTACCATTTAAAAAGTTATACTCCACAGCCAAAGAGGTCTCTGCATTTTACACTTTTTAATGTGATGCGCTCTGACTATGTATCGGGTTTTTGCTCAAAAGATAACGTATACGTTATCGCTGCGACAGGAATACCATTTACAATAAAATTCAGACTTGTTAATATAATTGAAAATGTTATTATGCATTTGCCATGCTAATAAAATCCCACTAGAAAAGTAAGTTAGTGAGAAGAAAACACTTTCACAATTACTAAATGGAAAAAGAACGGAAGTGCCTATAAAGACAGACTCTGTTTCCTTCCAAATTCTGACAAATTAACAGAGAAGATATATAAAGAGCAGAACACACAGATCAATGACTACACTGAAAATTTTCAATAACTTATGTGCTGTATACCTGGCAGCCATAATCCAAAAGAAGCTGTAGTATGTCCAAGTTTTCATTTTCGATGGTTATGGTAACAGCATTTCGTCCAAGCACATCCACACAATTTATGTTCATTTCACCTGAGCTGTTTTCCTCTAAGAGTTTCTTAACCATGTAATAGTCACCTGCACATGTAACATATGAACATCACTTTGTATTATTATAAAGCAACAAAAGCAGGTGAACATTGTTAAGTACCAGTTACCATGAAATGAGACAACATTCCATAGCTGACAAGAGGCAGTGAATATGTCAGACAATTAAGAAGTCAAGGCAGATAAGCATTCTCTCTATCAGGGAGGAAACTAAAGATATTTCAGGAGGTGTCTTTCAGGAAAGTGCTAAGACATGCACTTTAATCCACCCCTTTAGTTCCAGTCCTAAAAACAAATACACAAAAGCATGGGTACTTTTCCAAACTGGGGCAGTAGCTCACACATAACCTGTGAGACACAGGAAAAATCAAGTTCAACTACATCAGAGAAGGCTTCTCTGTTCAAAAGAGCCATGGGCTCAGAGAAGCCCTCTCTACCATGCTACAAATGGGTTTGCACCTTTCTTGAGCAGAAGCCACATTAGTCTTCTCTGTATCACTCCAATTTTAGCATATATATCATCAAAGTAGGTGTGATACAATGCTGAAAACTCAGGCTAGCAAGTTTGATGAGCAAGTAAAGCTAACTACAGTGAGATGTACATAAGCAGCATTTTCCTATTTGACTGAAGTATAGACGCACCAGGCTGCCCTGTTTAGCGTTATTCTGTTTAATTGATTCTTCTTGTCAAAGATAAAAGCTTTGCATTATTTTTGTCTCTAGGGTAACATTATTTTGCAACAGAGAAGACCATGACAAAGACAGACCTTAGTGCAGAATACTTACAGAAGTATAAGCAGAATACTTTTACGTGCAATAGAATACATACAGAGTCTGCAAAAGTACTTAAACCAGCTGTTACATAGGCTTTTTTTTTTTGTACATTTTTTATTGTGCATCTTTTTGGCTCCCTGAGCCTCTGTTTATACTTAGAGGAGGCCGTGGCTGGGTCTGATCTTCAGGACAGACTACACCAGCACACAGCTGCAGGCAGCCCAGCTAACAGCAAGGCATCCCGCCACAGAGCACACCAGAGCAAACTTCCTAAGCCCTGGCTAACGTCATGGCAGAAATACTCCTGCAGTTGTGAACTAACCTAAACACAGGGCCAGCAGACAGCTCTGCATATAAACACGCCAGCTTCTACAGCCATGCTATGTCCTGAAGTACATGTAACCATTCAGCACAGGATTAAAAGCCTATCCAACGTTTTGGACGTGTTAAGATCAGATTGATTTAAGACTGTTTCTCTACGCAAGGTAGTTAAACATATTTTTAAAGTAAGCAGCGTATTTTAGAAAGGAAAATCTCTCCCCATCCACCATCACGGGTGCAAATCACAGGAAGCTCATCCCGTTCGTTCTGGGGACGTCTAGATAAGCCCCCAATTTTATAACAACTGTACACTCACAGACACTTTAACAGTGAACGCGGCAAAGATTTTACGAACTCCTCCGACAGAAAGCGAACTCCCTCGCAAACAGGAGCTGGCCCCGCTAGGGCTGGGGACAGCGGGAGGCGGCGGAGCCGGCACAGAGCGGCCTCGCCGCC